TCAATTTAGAATTGCGTCTTCATTACCTAATGCAGGATAATACTTTGATTAATTTAAGGACCGAGATTTTTTGTCAATTTTCAAACGAAAGAAATAAAAACTAATATGATGATAACCTGCTTTATTCGTTTTTATGAGATTGAAGTCGAGTATATTGGAGTTTTATGCTGTACTTCAAATCGCTGTTCCATTAAAAAAACACAGTGGAATTTTTGTCAAATGCTCAAATTTCAAGATTACTTCTATTTCACAGGATCCTAATTTTTAATGGAGTTCATGTTGCTCTCAAGTAAAATTTGATTAAGACTGCAGTAGAATTTCGTTACAACGAAGCGTTTAGGAAGTTAAAAATGGCTTCGTGAACCAATATATTGGTTGAAATTGATTTAAAATCCCACTGTGGCTATTGGACATGCAGGAACTGAAAAACTGAATCGCTTCAAGCATTAATTCGTAATAAGAATATTTTATTGCATCGAGAAATTCACCGAGTTTCCCGCTTTTTCAGTTGCTTTTATAAATGAATAAAAAATGATACCTTACGAGTATATTTAATGCTATATTCTGCCTTTTTAAATTTCGTGACAGTGACCAAAATTCAAGCGATGGATGCTATAAATTCCTTCAATTTTTTTCGACGAAATTTCCTTTAAGCTGAATTGAAAAAAAACGAGATGCTTTTACTGTATTTTTCATTTTTGCTCTTACAAAAATTTCAATTGTTCCACAATGTGAAATATTATTGAGTTGACTAATGCATCAGTATTACATATACATTATTTATTTACATAAACTGCTAATTTTATTGCAAAAATCTTGTAAATGCAAAAATTGAGAATATATGGATTTACTTACTGTATTCAGGACGATTAGCGAATTTCAGATTTCTCAAATAGGTGTGTAAATCAACGATCGATTATTTAATGTAATTTCACTGCTCCATATCAAAGTAATGCCGGAGTAAAACCAAGCAAAAAGGAATTGAGAATATATCCAAGAAATTCAATACATAAGGAAAATTGTGCAGTTGGGACAATTATCCAGCTAAAAGAATAAATTTTTACTCTGCAAGGCACCTAAAACAATCACTTCCATGAAGTAATTTTTGCCAAATAGAATCTACAATGATGCAATGCGAAAATTAGGGACATTGCAGACTGGAATAATTCTCTGCCAAAAATCCATCAGGCATGGCGCGTATATTATGACTGTGAAGGTGTGAAGGCAGCTGACTCGATGTGATGGAACGACATCTATTTCAGGCATTGGGAGCAGCGCCAAACTTTTTTGTTGGGGACTCAGCTTTGCAGCAAACCTTCATGGTCGGTTTGGCCACTTGCATGACCTCGTTCCTGCCTGACTCACACACGCATTGCGTCAATTCCCTGATTGCAGGAAGCTCCAGTGGGGTGCGTAACCTCGCGAGGCGTGTCTGGAAACGCATTTCCACATTTTCGTGATTTGTATCGTAGGTGTCGCCGCAAGCCAACTCTGGCGTTTTCGGCTTCCTCGGTGGAATCGTGTCGTCCCTGAACGTTTTCGACTTCTCCTGGGTGAAATTGGCGCAAGCAGAAAATTGCGTTCTCTTGGCAAACGTCGGTCTTGGGAAGAAATGAACTACTTTTTTACTCATGCTTCGGGATCCGTTGGTCAGGTGTCGCATCAATATCTCAAATACTGTACCCCGTTGAAGGAACATGACAAATTCAATCTGAGCAAACTTCATCATCACAACCTTCCTGAAAAGTGATCTGGATTGAAGCAAATGACCCGAGGAACAATATTAGGCATTTTGAGCGACACCTATCCGATAGAAAATTGATTCTCGACGCGGAGACGCGCAGGGCATTTCAGAAATGAAACCAAATTTATTCTAATGCATGTACCCAATAAAAGTGTTGTGCTTTGCAATAAGAAATTAAAACTAAATTTTACTTAAGTATCATATTCACCCATTTCAAATTACAAGGAAAATAAGAGGGTGCATGTCAAAATATGGCTATAAACATTTTCAAAATTTTAAATCCTTCTGTGTGCATGGTAATTGATTCTAAGAGAGAATTCTGCACCAATTCCAACAAACACCTCTAAAAGAAAGCCACGTAAAATTAGCAATCAATTTTGGCATAAAAATAAACTGAAAACTTAAATTAGGATAGTTTCAATTTTTTAAATGTTTCAATATATCTAAAGTTGATGGATATGGCATGCCCATCATCTCACATGGGGATACATTTTCATTCATATTTTGGAAGAAAATCATGCAAATGTCTCACTCTTGAGTATTGATGGTACAGTATACTCAAGGAAAATTTGCTGTGATAACTCAAACAGCAATAACTTGCACAAAGAAACCTGACACGCTGCAACAACTCACACAGTTGACAACTCACTGACAACATTACTACTTTTTATTTCAGTTTATTATTATTTACAATATTCCTATTCTTATTTTCACCGGCAAATTTTGCATGAGTTCTTTTTGAAGAATTTGCAGATGAATTTTCCGTCTGAAACATGTTACCTTACATTCTTTTCACAAAATTAATGCGCAATTCGTGCCTTTTCTTCCTCAGTACTGGATAGGAATTTTTCAACAAACGTCAGAAACCACAAACTAGTGATCTGGAGCAGTGTTCAACAAATTATATTGATTTTTGATACTGTGAAACATTTCTCCAAGCCAACCTTTCTAAATGTTGAAGACAATCCACTATATATTTAGCCGCGTCATTGGTTCTTCACTCAATTTTTTTAAAAAAAAGGCTGACATTCTTTAAATACCTGCCAAAAAGTCTTTCAGAGAAAGCTTTCTGAGTTGGAAAAAACAAATTCTGAAACTGTGCCTGTCCACAGAAACTTTTTTGCAAATTTGCCAGTCTGCAAAATTTTTTTTTTGAAATTTGCCAGTCTTTGGACCCAAAAAGTTTGGGAAACACTGATGTAGAGCATTACAAAACAATTTCACTGCTATACATTCAATTCCTGGTCCCTTATTGGTTATGTACAAGAAAAGATAACATATTTGTTTTCAAATACGTTGATAAGAATTATTGATAGTGCTATGTAACGGTCATATGAAAAGAATTTCACTGAAAACTCATAAGCACATTTCTCAGTTCTGAGTTGAACGACTGCTCTTTGGTCCCTCTTTTTTATGACTAATTTCTGAATACTACAAAGTAGTTCTGAGTACTAACAAAGCTCACAATTTTCCTTTTGCCTTTCCTATACTGTACTTCATTGTTCCACAAACCAGAACATTTTCTGCGCAGAATTCCTGATATTTCGATGGTAATTGTGGAAATTACTGCAGAATATTTGGTGCTTCTTCGGAGAGGATGATTTCGGAAATTTGGAATTGCGATGAACTCTTAATTTTTTGTTAATGTGCAGAATTGAGTGATTACTTTATTTGGGCGTGTTAGGAATAATTTCGAGAGCGCCATTAAGAACTCCAAGACTTTATACACATATATTTATATTTTGACTGCGATGGAATTTGGGATATTATCATTAAATTATTTTCAACAATGATTCCTTATTTTGGAAAAAATCGCAAATAAAAAAACAACGCCGTTTATTTTGCGACGTATGTCTCTAAAATTATACATCAATTGTTCCGATGAAATAAAAATTACTCTTCTTCAACAGGCCTCAAATACTTGAACATTCGATTTTTAACATGTCATGAAATATGCTATTTTAATTCGCTTTAGTACCTAATCATGAGTTTTACGTGTTTCCCATCGTCACAAAATAGTGTTGATCATCTTTTGTTTCGTGAAGGTTTTCTCAATAAAATGGAAACCCTTTTCTCATTTTTCGAATTGCGATTCGTAGATTTTTTCGGATATGGTGGAATGTTGCAATCAGACAGACAAAAAACGAAAGCCAAAGCCTTGAATTCACTCTTTACCGAAGTCCTGAAATTAACTGCTTTTATAGGCCGGAAATTCAAGGATAATTTCACGTTTTTATCCCGTCCTCGACCTGGACTCGGGGAAAAAATGTGTTCGGTCATTTCATTATTCGTTTTTCTCCCCTGAATGACGAAATCCAAGGTTAAAAGTGGCTGAATATCGTTCGGAAAAACAAGCGATTAAGAGACTAAACTTTGAACAACCGCNTTTTTTGCGTTTAATAAAAAACTTATTGACTAGGATGGCTCAGGAAATAATGCTAGACTCACATTGTGTCTTCTCTCAATTTTTGGAAGAACTTTTGGGGGTTCATCAAGATTTGTGGAGCCATCAAAAGGAGTTGAAAATTGCCAATAAATGAAATGAATTAGTTTTCAATCCCAGAAATGATAATTATTCACATTGATGGGAGACGAGAAATTTTTTTTTTTGGCTATCTAAAGTATTCTAAAGACATAAAGACGCATGTTTCTTTTTTTTTTGTTGGACCAGGAAAGACTTTTAGCACAGCTCTAAAATGTAATGTGTCATGATCTGTCTTACATATTATTTTAAGATGCTGCTAAACAACTTGAAATATTGGATTGAATTTTGTTGTTTTTTTGCATTTTTATTCGGCAATAAAAGAATTTAAATTTTACTAAAAGTTTATCAATAAAGCCACAACTTGATTTTGTGGGACAAGTCCAAAAATCATAAGATAAAACAAGCAAGAAAAATATTATACCAATGCCTGATTTTTGCTCCAAAGTGCATCAAACATTGTTACTAATCCCAAAAAGTGCCAGAAATTTTACCAGCACAATTCCTAAATTTTATATTTAGACATGAAAAAGATGCTATATTTATTTAATGCCATGAAAAGGCTATTGCTGGATTTATTTTGATACAGATGGTACTTTGCAATTTGACCTCCCACAATTCAGCCATCCTGCAATTCAACTGTCCTGTTGTTTGACCATCCCACAATTCAACAGCAGTCAAATTTGCTGGGTGGTTGACTTGCAATTTGACCCTTGCACCACAATTTGACCTGCTTTGACCACTTTTTTCATTTTTACTTTTGAATTTCAGAAAGTTTCTTGCAATTTGACCCTAGTTCAGTAATGGATTAAGGTGAAATTGCGAGTTACACCCTGTATTATTACATACTAATATATATATAATAACTCTGTTTTCCTAGAGTTAAGTAACATTTGGTGCCTTTTTATTTTGCTGCTAATCAGTTCTGTATAAAGCAGTTATATTGTGAAAGGAAGGAATAAATAAGTGTGATCAAGGAAAAAAAATTAATCACAAAAAATAATTATAGATGTATTAATTTGTCATTCTTCTGATAAAAGTTGTGTCGCTTAATTATCTTTTATTATACTGTACTACAGTACTGAATGACATTTTTTTTCTTTAAAACTCCAGGAATCTTCACTTTCTTTAATACAAAAAACTTGTTGTACGAATAATATGTTTCCCAGGATTTTTCCATCTTCCCCTTGTATATCACTATAAAATTCAGCAGTTGCCACAATAATCTTCGAAGAAATCGCAGCAAATATAACGAAAAACTGAAAGGTTTCCTTTTTTATAAAGGTATCACAACAGATTAGATTCAAGCGAATATTTACCGCATTTTTTATATTTTTTATTGCTTTTTTTTCTTGGTCTGAAGGATCGAAACTCTGCTTAAAATCGCGCATTCCTCTTCAGTCAATCATTGTAAAAATCTAGAAAAAATTGAATTTTATTCATATTTGAATGAACTGATTTTTTAAAAAACATTATTTACAAAAAGGTGACTGATTCGAACGGTCAGCAAGTGACAACAGGAACAGTAGCAAGCACAGGGATTTTCGGTCTTATCCGAAGCATCATTTCTACTCTGAACGTGTTTGAATCTCGCTGGCTTCGGATGATTCAAGCAGAAA